CTGGTAACACGCCCACGTCACACTATGCTGTCGCCCAGACGTGACGTCCGCACGCTGGTCATGTAGCCAGGCGATGCTCTGGCAATGGGGCTGAAAATTCAATGGTACCATCGTGTTTTCAGCCCCATTGCTAGAGCATCGCCCGGCTACGTGCCTATGTCATGTCTGGGCAACAGCATAGTGCAGCGTGTGTGTTTCCCCCGCGGGAATGTTCCCGCGAAAGGACTGTCTGTCCCCCACCGATTCGCGGTAAGTACTTGGTAGCCCTAGAAGCACTCCATCTCTTGACCCTCGCCCCAGGATGGAAGGACACGAGGCGGCCACAGGCCCAGAAGGGGCCCCAGAGGACGCACCGCTGGCTGTCTCTGAAGCCCACGGAAGAGGAAGAGGAGCCTCCTCGTCAGCCTGCTGCCGTCCAGCTCTCCTGCCCACTCCTCCATGCCTCAGCCCAAAGTCCAGCTGGGCTTCTGTGTCCAGGCAAGGCCCTCGGAGGAGGCATGTGAATGGCAGCGATTGTGCTCAGGTGTAAGCGGCAACTACGCACTGCAGAATGACAGGCTTCCCTCAGCTGAGACGTCCTCTCCCCTCTAGGAGTGCCCCCCCCGGCCCATGACACCATGAGCAGAGGCATGAAGCACCTGCTGAGTCAGCCTCACCTGACCTCTGTGCACAGCTTCTTCCTCCTCCTCCTCCTACACGGGGCTCCCAGCGGTTCCCTCCTGCTCAGCTCCCCACATCCCAGCCCATTCAGTGCGCCCGTCTTCCCCTTACTCCTCCTCACTGCGCTAGCTCTGATCTCAGCCACCAACACAAACTCATCACGTGTGGCCCCTCTTTAGCCAGAGTTCTCTGCTTGCACTCAGGGGCCTTGAAGCCAAGACCAAGGAGGCCTCCGTGCTCCACCTGCCTAAGGTCCACGAGAAGCCACGGTGTTCCTAAAGACCAAGGTATAAACGCTTATCTGACCTCATAGGCACAAAAATCAGCAGCTAATGGGTGCAAAGTGCAAAGTGGTGGTGGTGGCAGAGCTCATTAGCAGCTAACAGCTGGCCAGTAACACAAACAGGTAAGGCAGCTGGTGCCCAGGAAAGAGAGAGAGAGAGACCGAAAGACAGGCAGAGAGACAGAGCACGAGCTCCTGCAGGAGCCTCCAGGGCTTCCCCCTTCAACTTGGCCCAAACCAGCCGCCTCCCCCCAAGTCTGGACTCCAGATAAGACACATACGCAGCAGTTAAGGTTTCTCCTCTTCTACGGGTTCACTATGGTATTCTGCCACATACAGGCTCTTGTCAATGTTACTGGGGATGGGCTTGATTTCTGTCCCCAGCTGCTCTTCAATACTTTTCAGGTTGAATCGATCATCGTAGGTGATCAAGTTGATGGCCAGGCCGAGGTGGCCAAACCGACCTTCAAGGGGAAAAAAATCAGCAAACGTGAGAAGGCTACAAGCAAGCTAAGAGCAGTATTTGCTCCTTGCAAGCAATGGGCGTGCAGCTCAACGAAAGCACCAAAGACAAAAGAAAGCGCTCCTTCCCGGTGACAGAAGCAGTTTCGAGTTTCACATCCCCAATTATGGTAGCATTGTCAACTTGTGTTTCATGTTACCCATCCCTCAGAGAGAAGGGTGCAGCACAAGCGGAGAAACTTTTGCATTTGGATCTCTGCCATAACGAGGAATATAGGCTTGCTTCGTGTGTTCAATCCAAAGGGGGCTGGCAGGTCACACAACAGAAACTCTTGTGACCTACAGTTGTGCAAGTTAACAGCCAAGCAGGAGCAGCAAAGCCCAAGGGCGCTCTTCACTGTGGGGAGTGACAGAGCCCAGAGGGCAGCCAGTGCCAGGGACGTGGGGAGGAGCCTGGAGAGCCCGCTCTGAGCAATCCTTGGCATGCACCCCCCCCCCCAAAGCAGAGGGGATGGTGTGGCCAGCACAGCCCTGCAAGGGCAGCCAGGCAATCACACCAGGGACAGGGACGGAGGGTCGAGAGGCTCCTCAGGAAGGAATGAGGGACTCCTCTGGGGTGTCAGTGAGCCACAGCAGCCAGTCTCTAGGGGGGAGGCTGGCTCCAGATCTTCCAACAGAACCACCTCCACTGTGCCTGCACTCAATTTCCTCCTCTTTGTCTTGCCCCCACCCAGCCACGCCCATTGCCCCAATGCCAGTTCACAATACAGCTGCTTGCTAAGAAGCCGCTGTGTCTGCAGCACATGAGCTTGGCTGGGGGTGGGCAGCTCATTCACCAGCTGAATCTCCGGTCTCTTCAGAGGACTGCATTTAAAGCCCACTGCTGCCTGACAGATTCCCGGCAATAGAATTCCACCATCTTGCTGAGCTGCCTGGATCAAACAGCCCCTCTCATCTGAAGGCTCACCAGCCGCCCAATTTGTCCTCCCTTGCAACGGAGCTTCCTTACCTGACCTGCCAATACGGTGGAGATATGTCTCTGCCAGCTTTGGAAAATCAAAGTTTATCACAACATTCACAGCTTGGATATCAATACCTCGGGTAAACAGATCTGAAAGTCAAGAACTCCAGTTTAGACCACTGGACAAAAACAGCAGGCAGGGTCCTCCACAACCCAAGTGCGGCAGGACAGCCGGTGGCTACACAACATACTTGTTGCATCACGTACCTCATCTGGCATTAAGCCTTTGCCTTAGCCAGTCAGAGGACAGATGTGTTAAAATGGTCACATTTTTAAGGATAAGCACTGTAGGTGGCCGTGGCAGATGCAGACGTCACCCCCTCCTGCCCTTCAATGGCCTTGTCGCCAGCCCAGGAGATCCAGAACTCCAAACAAGCCCACGCTTGGCAACGAAGAGGCACAAAAGCCGTTCAATTTACAACCCAAGCCTCTTTGTATTCACATTACCTCGTACTTGCCCCTTTCAGGACAGCCATTAAAACACAATCATTAAAAAACAAGCTGACACCACTAAAATAAGCCAGGGGATAACAGCATAAAGCCGCCAAAAATGATGTAGATAAAATGGCCAGAACCAGACCTTAAAATGTTTAGAAGAAAATCATCTTAGTTAAAAGCCCGGGTAAAAAGGAACATTTTGGCCTGGCATCTAAAAGAAAGCAAGGTAGGTGCCAGCTGAGCCTCACAGGCGAGAGCATTCCAAAGGGGAGGCGCCACCGCCACCACCAAAAAAGCCTTTTCTCTTTGGCCACTAAACAGCAAGTCTTAAGAAAGGAAATGCAATCCAGAGAAAGGACAAAGGAAACTTACCAGTGCAAACAAGATTGCGGCATAAGCCATTCCGGAAATCGTGGAACACTCGATTGCGGTGCTCCTGGAAAAGAAGAACAGTCGATTACTCCCTATGACACTCCTGTAGCGCAGAGTGACGGAGCCTTTCCTCTTTAGGCCCCTGTGGGCTCCAAGCCACACAGGTCTACTCAATGGAAGAATTGCGGACTGTCACGGTTTGAACAACTTAAGGAGAAGAGATTGGATTGATACCCCGCCCTTCACTCGGAGTCTCAGAGCGGCTTACAAACTCCTTTCCCTCCCCCTCCCCACAACAGACACCCTGGGAGGTGGGTGGGGCTGAGAGAGGACTGCCCTTGAGAGAACAGCTCTTAGCAGAACTACGGCTTGCCCAAGGTCATCCAGCCAGGTGCAAGTGGAGGAGTGGGGAATCAAACCCGGTTCTCCCAGATTAGAGTCCGCGCACTTAACCACAACACCAAACTGGCTCTCTGGTTTCTTTTGCTCTTCCTCCAGGACTCTACAAAAGAGCTGCATGGCCACTAGCAGCACAAAGCAAAGGCCCCCGTGGCAGATGACCACAGAATCAGCCACAAGGAGCAGCCACAGCAGCACTGTGGCTCCGATCCCCTTAAACGGCTCTGCCGTGATCTGGATGGAAGAAGGTGGTCAAGGCCACGTAAGTGCTGGGCACCTTGCACTGACCTGCCTCATCTTTGCATGAATGTAGAAGCACGAATACCCCAGCTGGGAGATTTTCTTGGCTAGCAGTTCAACCCGTTGGGAGGAGTTGCAGAAAATGATCGACTGGTTAATTTGAAGCTAAGCGGAAAAACAAAAAACATTTCAACTGTAATTGGTTCCCTGCCTTGAAATCTCAAACTAATATTTTCAGATATATATATAGGGATTATGTAGGGCAATACTATTCAAGTAGCTTATCTATAGCTTCTGGCTAAAGGTTCAGATAAGTTATCAACAATCTCCTGTGAACTGCAGATCACGCTCCTCCCCCACATCAACACAGGAAGTTTTATCTGAGAAACTTAACCTCGCATACATTCAAGTGGGTAGCTGTTTTTGTCTGAATCAATAGAGCAAAGTTTGAGTCCAGTGGGACCTTTAAGAAGAAGAGATTAGATTTATACCCTGCCCTTCACTACCCAAGGGAGTTTCAGAGCGGCTTACAAACTCCTTTCCCTTCCCCTCCCCACAACAAACACCCTGTGAGGTAGGTGGGGCTGAGAGAGCTCTGACAGAAACTGCTCTTTTTCAAGAACAGCTGTGCCAGAGCTATGGCTTGCCCAAGGTCACCCAGCCAGGTGCAAGTGGAGGAGTGGGTAATCAAACCCGGTTCTCCCAGATTAGAGTTCGTGCACTTAACCACTACACCAAACTGACTCTTTAAGACCAACAAAGTTGAATTCTAAGTATCAGCTTTTCTGTGCATGCACATTTCTTCATCTGCACATGAAAGCTTATACCCAGAATTAAACTTTGTTGGTCTTAAAGGTGACACTGGACTCAAACTTTGTTTTACTCAGTTACAGCAGGCCTTCTCTCTATCTTTCAGGATGGGAATGCAGGCAGAAAAAGAGCCTATCAGTGCCCATGTCCTGACCCTTCTTGCTCTGTCAAAGGAGGACATATGAAATATCATCATGTCTTTCCCCAAGTACAAAGCAGGCAGTTATGTACTAAATGGCAGAACTTTTGCCCAGAGCTTGAGAGTTATTTGGAGACATAACTCATATTAATGGGGACAGAAAACAGAAAATTACAGGAAATTTAACATCCAAAAGATATGAAGTATTGTGCTGTTTCATATTACTACTACATCCCCATACAGTGTCATGGACAGGCATCTTTTGGGAGGTTCCTGCTTTTTCATTTACACTCCTGTTCGCTAGATGAACTGACTTATTTAGTCCGTTGTTTAAGCACACAACTTCCCTCTCAGGTTCCATGCAAAGGAGAGAACATGAGGAGGATCAAGTGGAAACTAGACAACACTGCTTACCCTGGAGAATAATGTGTTGAGGCAATGTACTTTCTGGCGCTCAGTAACATAGGCATAGTACTGGGTAACTCCCTTCAGCGTCAGCTCCTCCATCAAGTTAATCTCATAGGGTTTCTGCAAGTGGGAATTCTGAAACAAGCGTTCCAAAGTTTAGGAAAACATGCAGCCTGCATTTGACTAGACATCCCACTGGCTGATTAAACAACATGGGCTTTTCCAGAAAAGCTGCCAGTAGCCCAGGATAACAAGGAGATCAGCACGGCACTTACCATAAACTTCTGTACACTTAGAGGGAAAGTGGCTGAGTATAGCAAGATCTGCCTATTCTTAGGTAGCGTGAGAATGATGTCCTCCATTATTTGAACAAAATCCTGGGACAACAACTTGTCTGCCTGCAATGAGAAATGGACAGGTTCAATATCAACGTGCTCTTCCAACTTCTGGAAACTTGCTTCAGTGCTGGTCCCAACAAGCCTCTTGGTTCTATAACCACCAGGCCACAATCCCAGCTTCAGCCTTAAAATATTCCTGTTAAACCTATTCCAGTTAAGAACGGGGAAACTACGCTGGTCACTTCCTCAAGCTATGCAGCAGCCCTCCCGATCAACAGAGGAAGGAACCTTTCGTGCAACGCACCATAACACAGGCCTCGTTTCAAACGGCACTTCAGACACCTGACTGAATGTCTGCATGAACCTGCACAGCCCCAACTGATGCCAGCATTACCTCATCTAGAACAATCATCTGGACATGGTCCACTTTTGCTACTCCTTTCTTGATAAGGTCCAGAATCCTCCCTGGTGTAGCTATCACCACATGTACTGTAAAAGGAAAAACACAGAGAAACTCCAACTTGAATTTGTGGGGATCTGGCACAGGGCAGAGTAGTAAAATCAAAGCCACCAGCTGGGGCTTTGACTGTCACTAGTGTTTTAGTGCCTAGTTCACAACCAGCCCAGAGGTCCTACCTGTATCGTCAAGCCTCATTATGTCATCACGCAGGTTGGTTCCTCCGGTGGTTGCCATCACTTTGGCCCCTCCCATGTGTTTGCTGACCTGGATGCAGATCTGACTGACCTGTAGGGCCAGCTCTCGTGTGGGAACGATCACCATTGCTAAGAAGAGGGGAGAATAGTCAGGGCGCTGCCTCTTGTGCTCAGCATGTGCCAACAACAGGTTTCCTTCAGAGTGGGAGTGGAAGATTTCCAGGAGGTCTACTGTCTGAACTCAAGGCTCGATGAAGGCTTAGAGAGATCTAGTTCAACGAAATCTCTTTGCTGACAGACAGTTATGCCTCCAAGAAACAGAGGATGGGGACAGTCAGAGCATCTGTTAGCACCCCCCTCCCTCCTGCCTTGCACCAGATGCATCCATTTGGCCATGGTTTGACAAGAAGAGCAGACCAAACTAATTCAGCAAGGTTCTTAACTAAACCAGGGTGTGTGTGTGTACAGTTACAGCAAGTCATCTGCTTCTCACCTCTGACCTCATTCCCCTTAAGGGGATGAGCAGCTTCACAATTCAAGCCTTCCATTCTTCCTTGCATTAAATGCCGCCCAAACAGAACCATTATCCTCCTTAAATGAGCAGATATCAAGAAGAAAGGGGTGTCCCTACACCAGCAGGGCTACGGCACCACAACCAACCCTGACTTTTACAGACATTTTTGTACTCCAATAAGCACAAAGTGGGAATCCATATTAGCAGGTAAGCAATTAGGGTATCTTGCACTTTTCACTGGAGAAGCATCTGAGTACCACTGACCTTGTATGTTGTCCTTCTTTAAGTCAAGTCGTTCAAGTAAGGGAATGAGGTAGGCACCACTCTTGCCAGTTCCGTTCTTTGCTCTTGCCAAGATGTCCCTCCCAGACAGAGCAATAGGAATGCTCTCCTCCTGAGAAGAAGCCACGAGGGTCAGCACAGTGCCCGCTGCAGCAACCACTCATCTCACAATGCCTACCAGTGGTGGGGGGACAGAAGGCTAATCCAAATGCAGCCACCTGTCCATTAGTCAAGCCACCGGCACCCTAACCCACTCTCTTCAATCTATTCTTAGCAACAACAGACTGTCACCAAAGCTAAGACATGGCTGTCACCAGCAGAATCAGAAAGTACAGTGGGGCTCTCACCCAGGCCGACAGCTACTGGGGGGGGCGGGGCGGCTCTTGGAGCAACGCCCCATCCTAAATTTTTCATGCTCCCTCCTGGCCTCTCCCTTTGAATACCGTACCTTCTCTCCCTGCGTCTGTATGTCAGGAAGGGAAGGTATGTCTCTTTAAATACCTTCCCTTGTCTTGTTGACACGTGCTGCCACTGCACCACAGCTCAGGGAGGGAAGGGGAGGTATTTAAACTTCAAATAACTTCCCCTTTCTCCCTCCTTGAATTGTGCCACGAAGGTGGCATGTGTCAGCAAGTGAAGGTACCTTCCCTTTTTTACTGGTGCATGCCGCCCCAACACAACTCAGCGAGTGAAGGGAAGGCATGCCTCTTTAAATGATAATCTAATTAGCAGTAATCTAATTAAGCTCCCAGCTCTCGGTGTTTGCACCCCCACCAAAGATTTACTGGCTACGTGCTTGCTCCCACCCACCTCAATAAGTTACCTGAGGGGTATCTTTTGGATCAGAGGATGCTGCCAGTCCATTTAAAGACAGTATAAGAAAAGGAAAGCTTGGTGGGCTGCAAACAGGCATTTAACAGAGAGCCTATTTTGACATTTTCATGAAACAGCAACACCAACAGCATATGCGGAAAAGCCAGATTCTGACAATGGTCTTCCCTGCTGCTGCCGGCTCTGAAACGTCTGTGGACTGCCCACAACACAGACATGGTGGGCTTCGTACCAACTCTGCGGCCCACCTGCCTCATACAGCACTGCCAACATCCGGAAGTCAGGAAAGAGCTCCCATTCTCTGAATGGCAGCTGGGTGACAACAGAGTCCAAGTGACAGCAACAGGGCCTACTCCACCACTTGGCTGCACCAGAGATCTAAAGCATTATGCCCCACGCTGCCCACTTCTGAGAGGCAGCAAAGCACTAAGCAAGCATATCACATAAGCCGCCACAAACCAACCTGAATAGGAGATGGCTTTTCCCAGCCCATTTCGAAAATTCCCATCAGCAGCTCCCGTTTCAGACAGTAATCTTCAAACTCATTTCCTTTAGTGGAAGTCACATCCTGAACCAGCAAAGCAGTACAGTTAGCCAGTGTTTCCCCCAAAAGCAGCAGCCTACGTGCAAGGCACTGCGTTTATATGACCGGCAGACAACCCTGAATGTAAGACAACCTCCCCCCTAAAAAGGTTATCCACAAAAAGTACACCCACACAAAGCTAAAGTTGACACACAAGCAAAGCGGGGCTGCCCGAGGGCCACACATCTGCTTTAAAGGGGTGCAAGAAATAAAGCAAGCCCTCTCGGGCACACACATCTTGGCCTCCGGCTCTGACCTGTAAGACATTAGTAGGCTGGCAGACACTGGTGAAAACAACAGATCTTTTGCCAAGCACTGAGGCCTTTCAAGTATTTATTTTATGTAATCAATACATTTCTATGCTGCCTTTCCACCACTTCAGAGTCCCCACACGTGGCAAACATTAAAATGTCAGACATTAAAAAGCATATAAAATACAAGCAAGCATATATAAATTTTTAAATAAATAAAATGTAATACAAACACTAAAACATACATCAAGGTGGGCAGCCTTGCTGGTCTGAAGCAATACAACAAAGTTAAGGGTCCAGCCGGGCACCTTTAAGACCAACAATTTTTTACTCAAGATGTGAGCTTTCGTGTGCGTGCACACTTTGCCAGACGATGAAACAGAATTCCATATCATAGCTGTATATATAGGGGTGGCTTGTTAAATTAGCATGCAAAATAGTGAAAGTATTTTTAAAAAAAACAGATCAAAAGAATGACACACTTGGTTTCTGGTAATCATCTGTTTCGGTTCAACTGGGGAAATTAACTCCATGTCTTTGTGAAACAAAATGTTATTACTGCTCTTAACAATTAAGAATGTAATTGAATAAGTAATGTAATTTGGAATGGCAGATTTAAATGTAGTTCTCTGTTTTGGGGACAAGGAAAATACTCTGCACAGCCAAGATGCTGTAAAGTTCACCTCCATGCTAGAAAGGAGATGGATGGGGGGGTCTAAGGACGGGACTCTCACAAATTAGGACACATCAATCTCCAGTTCTAACCTATTTATTACCTATGCTGTGTCCCCCTCCCCATGTTGGTCTTAAAGGTGTCACTGGACTCTTTAACTTTTGTTGTACTAAACATAGATAGGGAGGAGACTTAATAAGAGTTACTGATGGAACACCAACCCCCCCCCCCCCCCAGCCTTCATCGGCTGCACAGAAGACAACTCCCTGGGGAGGGAGTCCCAAACGTTTTGGTGCCACAATCAAGAAGGCCTTTTCTAGCCTCAGATGGTGGAGGAACCTGAGGCAAGACCTCTGAAGATTACCAGGGTGGTCAGGTAGGATCCTATGGGTGGTCCTTTAAAGTGCCCTTTCCCTCAAGGAGGTCAAAAGCGCAGCAAGTAGAATAAAACTACTCTGGATGCTTTACCCTTCATTGCTTCTTACCGAAGTTTTGATCCGCAGATCTTTTGGAGGAAGTTTCAAAGTCTTCTTCCAGTCATCGCCAGGTCTAAAGTAAGACAACAGTGTCGTGTCAGCCACTGAACTGCATTTTGCCACTGTGGAAGCTTTGCTCTGGAGTCCCCCATATTGCACAGATGCACCATTTTGCCAAGAATATCACAAAGCCAGAAAGAGAGGCCAGAGGGGAACACGATAGAAGCCATGCCAGTGTCTTTAAAGGGCAAAGCCACACCACAGATTTAAACACTTTTCTCAGACATTCCTTCCCCTCCCACACAAACTATAGATACCACAGAAGATCTCCACACATTCACCAAACTACAGTTTCCAGAGTCCTTTGGGTAAGCCATTGTGGGGTTAAAATAGAAAGCTTGTGGAGTAGACATATCACAGAAGGTCCTTATGCCAGGTATTGAGACACTTATAAACTGGACAGAATGAGCATCATCTGGCAAGCCATACTGGCAATTTTCATATGGCTATGAGCAGGATTCCTACATGGCCTCCCTAAAGAATACCAAGGTGGTAAGCTAAAAAACAGCCTGTTTTAAGACAACCCCAGCCAAATACACCAAAGCAAGGTCAAGAGAAATCACCCAAAGGTGCAGACACAACACTTATACCTGTATATACTGCAAGTCCAGTTAGTACAGCCCATCATGGCTACTATTAACAGAGACTGCCTACTTGTTGAGTCTAATACAGTCCTAATTAAAAGAGGGCTTTGTCACAGCTCACCCAAAAGATGATGTTAATAGCTCACCCAAACGATGATCTTATTTCCAGATTCCCATTAATTGGGGAATTATACACCCTTATCCAATTTTCCCTTTCAAGCCAAGATGATTGACCAACATTAAGATAACCAGTTCCAAATATTTGTTGTAGATTTTCCGGGCTGTATGGCTGTGGTCTTGACATTGTAGGACCTGCTGTTTTGCCAGCAGCTGTGACTGGCATCCTCAGAGGTATAACACAGAAAGATGGAGTACTCTTTCTGTCAAGGTGAGAAGAAAAGTGGTAGGCAGGTAATTTATATCTACTCAGGAAGGTGGAGTAGGGCTGAGTCATTATCTTGTACGAGTTCCCCAGGCTGTGACGTACTAATTGAGGAACCCCTACAAGGTTCACTCTACACTCTTAGTCACTCAGCCATTTCATGTTTTAACCTGGGTCCGAGACTCAGAACTCTGAGCATGAGATTTCTGTGGTGAATGTCAATGTCAAAAGTAGGTTTGCAGCTTAGAGAGCTAATTTTTAAAGCATGTTTTTATTTTAAGTTTTAAAAAATATCTTTGTGTTTGTGTCTTTTATAAAGTTAATATCTCCACTACCTGGCATTACAGTTTATGACACACATGGCCCGGCCCGACAAGGTCTCATTTATGTCAGATCCAGCCCTTGTAACAAATGAGTTCGACACACCTGGTCTAAAAGGATGTCTGCATGGTTAAGGACACCAGGTCAAGGCAACCATAAAAGACAAAGTTTTCTTTTTTATCACTTCCCATAAAGCACTAGGCATTTACCTTGGGGCGCTGCTGGACCCAGGCCTTCTGCTGGATAAACAGGCGGCAGCAGGGGTCAGGGTGCCCTTTATCAGTTTAGGCTGGTGAGACAGCTGTGGCTCCTCTTGGAATTGTGGTGCACTGCCCTGAACATCTAGATTAGATTACTCCCTGTGTTCTACATGGGGCTGCCCACGAAGGCTGTCCAGATGCTGCAGTTGCTATGGAATGCTGTGGCCAGAACGCTGACTGGAGTGGGCCCCAGGGACCCTGCCATTAGAGCAGGGGTATCCAAACTTGCTTAACGCAACAGCCACAGAATAAATGTCAGATGTTTGAGAGCCGCAAGACATGAACAAATATAACACACACGGTTTTATTGAAAAACATGTAAATTTGCTTTTTATTAACATTAAAATTAGACTGTGTGAAAGAGCTGCATGCGGCTCTCGAGCTGCAGTTTGGCCACCCCTGCACTAGACTCTTATTCCATCTCTCTGGCTCCCAATTTGCTTCTGGGCCCAATTCAACGTACCTTTAAAGCCCTGTAGGGCTTGGGGTCACCACACCTCCAGTAATGCCTTCTCCCAACTGAACCTACCCATCCATTCCAATCGTCTTTGGAGGCCCTGCTTCAGGTGCCCCCCCCCCCCAAAAGCTAGATGGTGGCAACTCAAAAAGGGTCTTTTCGGTTGTGGTGCCAAAACTTTGGAGCTGCCTCTCAAGGGAGATTCACCCCGTCTGACTCACTCCGTGGGCAAGGACTTCTTTATTTCATTTGCTACCCCCAGTAAGTCCTTGTGGGCCCTTCTCCCCACCTGTGTGTGTTACTCGGATGTGTAGATGGTCTTATTCTACTGTTAAATATTTACATACATATTTTAAATGCTATTTTAATGTCCATCTCCATAGGAACCCTATTCGTGTGGGAAAGTAGCATATTAACATTTAAATAAATGAGAGAATTATTAAATGTACTGAGACACAAGGTCAACTGAGGAAAAATCAGCATAGCTTCTGCCATGGGAATTCCTCCCTCACCAAGCTCTTGAGAGTTCTTTGAGCAGGTTAACAAGCCTGTAGATGACAACCCAGAGTAGACATTATATATTTGGACTTCCAAAAGGCCTTTGGCACGGTACCTCACCAAAGACTCCTGAGTAAGCCTAGATGTCATGGGGTAAGAGAACAGGTTCTTTTGTGGATTAAAAACTGGTTTAACTACAGGAAGCACCGAGCAGGAATAAAAGGACAGTTCTCATGATGGAAGGAAGCAAGCCCATTTAGCTAACTCCTGTATCTCAAAAACAAGATGGGAAAAGTACAAAGGAGAGCAACCAAGATGACTGAGGGGTTGGAGTACCTTTCCAATAAGGAACAGCTAGAGTGAAGATTTCTCAATCTACGTAAAAGACAGCTAAGGAGAAACATGACAGAAGTTTATAAAATTATGCATGGGATGAAGAAAGTGGATAGAGGGAGCTTTTTCTCTCTCTTCTGTAATTTTGGACTGAGGGGGGCACTCGAAGCTGATGGGATAAAGACAAAAGGAAATACCTCTTCGCTCAACAATTAAATAAACAGTGGAATTCACTTCCAGTGGACATACTGTTGACATCAAGCACAGAGAGTTTTAAAAGGAGGTTAGATAATTCATGCAGGAGGAGTCTATCAATGGATACCACACATGGTTACCAAATGGATCCTCCATCTACAGAGGCAGCAAACACCTGAATTCCAGTGTTTGGAAGGAGCAGCAGCAGAGGGCCTCAGTCTAGTCTCCATGCCTTGTTTGCCTGGCCCAGCACCAAGGTGATACCCCCACTGCTTGAAACAGGATGCTGAACTAGACGGACCACTGGTCTGATCCAGCAGGCTCTCACCACCAGAAAGCAATGACAATGTAGATAAAATAAGGTGCCAATTAATGCCTGGCATCAAACACTGCTCTTGTCCTAAACTAAGGCCACAAGAAAAAGTATTCTCACCAAGGAATCAGAAACCCGGTGACCATTATTTAAGTACCACCCTGTATAACAAGGCTTCATACAAGTACTTACTTGAGAGTGGAGGGCATACCCTGGGCTTGCTGCTGAGTGCCATTGTTGATTGTGTTGGGATGTTTCAGCTGGTTTATCTGCTGCTGAGCCTGTGTTCCCCCGCCTCCTGGACCACTGCTGGGTTTTACTGGGCCCCTCAACTGTCCATTTTGACTGGAGAGACCCATTATAACAGGGTTCTCTGTTCTGGCCGTACTCATGTTCTGCTTTATAAAGATGTCTTTCTTGACTTCAAAACTTTGAAAAGTGAGTACAGAAACTGTAATAACAGTTTATTAGGCTCTCCAAGATGAAGAGATAAATAATGTCTTGCTCAATATATGAGTCTTATTGCAATGCAGGCAAGCACCGGTAAAGTCACTCAGAAGCAAAGCAGTCACTTGCGCTGATGCACTGCGGAACAACTCCTTCAAAAAGGTCTTCTAGCAAACTGGAGTTCTATCCAAAATCACTCAGTTCAGTCTGAAAAGACAAGCAACAGTGTTATATGCAGGAATTCCTTGGGGCAATCACCTGTTCAGGTGAGGTAAAGGCTGCCCACACTGGCAGAATGTAACACAGGTCAGGATTCAGGACCAGTGTTCCCTCTAAGCTGAGTCAGTGTGAGCTAGCTCAGTTTTTCAGCCTCCGGCTCACACATTTTTGCCTTAGCTCTGGAAGGATGGCCCCAGAGCAAACTAATTGATGCAGTAGCCAAATTGCTTGCTCACGACTTAAATGCCGGTAGCTCAGAAAGTAGAATTTTTGCTCCCAAGACTCCAGAGCTTAGAGGAAGCATTGGTCAGGACATCCACTTGATGAACAAGGGCCAAAACCCTCCATCTCTGCGGGGGAAAGTGCCAAAGGTCATCGCTCTCCACCGACCCTGGCAATGAAAAGAGACATTTTGGTAAACGTCACCACTCAGGAACTAACCAGAAACTGTGATGATTCCCTGCTTAATCTAAGACCTCTTCACCAAGGGACAATGTTTTGGCTTGCTGCTCCCAAGTCACCAAAACAAAACTACGCCAGTTTGGTCTTCTTGCTGTTTTCTTACCATTCCTCAACGACTACACAGAAGGGCTGAACAGGGGACAGTTTGTTCGGCACTGCAGGGCGCCCTAAGTATGAGACTGGGGCAAGATCCCTCCCCGCCCCTGCCCCAACTTGGACGGGACGGCGCCCTTCCCACTAGGAGGGCCTCTTCTGACCCACACGTAAGCTCCCAAAAGGAGGTTCCCCGAGGGCAAGCTGGACTTTCAGGCGGTGGACCTCTTTGCAGCTAGGCCGAGAGGCTCGCCCCACACATCTGCCTTCTGCTCCCGCAGGGGTGCCTGGGCGCGAGGGCCGAGGAGGCTCGCTCGTCCCAAACCCGGGCCTCCCGCAAGGCGAATCCTGCTGCCGCCGCCCCCCACCCCAC